CTACCCAGGGGGATAGCTTGAGGCTCCATCTCAAAAAAAAAAAAAAAAAAAAGAAGTAGAATCTCCTTGAACATAAGAATATTTAGCTTTGCTACTGCTTTCCTGCTGAAGATAGCTGTAGGGTGATGACAGGATCCTCTCCTGGAATTTATCAACATCATTCTGTTCTCCTTTTGGGTGTGGACTGACAGCACAACCTTCCTTAGCCCTCTGTGTTTGAATTCTTCCCAGGTCAAAGGAACTGGCTACATGTTTATGGTCCAGGGCTCACGTGCCAGGATAGCATCTTCTGGCTCTGTGGGTGGGACGTGAACCATGGTGCTGCTGTAACTGCACTGGCTTCCGCCCGACCCCAAGCTCAGCGCCACAGTGGACAAGGTGCAAGGGGCTCCTCCTTCAGCGTCTGTGGACCACTCATTCATTGACATTTCTGATTTAGGTACAGCTGGGATCTGGGAAACAGCGTGCAATGCTTGGACACCATCAGCCCTGAGGTTTTGTTTCTTGTCTTCTTTGGAGGATGAAGAAGTTGTATTTGCACAAGATACGTACTTTCTTTTTAAAGCTGGAATATTATAGCTCTTCAGGTATCTGATAACACTATCAATACAGTTTATTTTAGTTATTTTTATTTATTTATTTTGCAGTTTTTAGCCGGGGCTGGGTTTGAACCCGCCACCTCCGGCATATAGGGCCAGTGCCCTACTCCTTTGAGCCACAGGCACCGCCCATCAATACAGTTTATTTGTTGATAGGATCCGCTGTGCTGATCTTTCCCCAAATCCTCACAAGACTCAGTACACATGCTATTATTTCTCAATGTTTGGAAGGAAGAAAAGGCCTTCTGTTCATCACCACCTGGCGGCTCTGTGCATGCCCCCGTCACTGGCTTGGCCAATGATCTGGTCATTGACTCGATGTACAGCTGCTGGCCCAAATTCTTAATTTTGTTCACACTGGCATAGACTGTTGCAACATCATTGGTTCCTCTCGCAGCTCCACCACACAGTGCCTGCGGGACTCGCTGGAAGACGCCATACTCACGTGCTGCTCCTGGGAGCCGCTGCCACCCAGGCTCCTGTAGCCACTGGAAGCACTCACATGGACTGGCTGCAAGAGAAGTTTGTGAATTTGTTCTTGTGATTCTGTTACGTCTTTGTCATTACTGTTCATCTTTTTTATTCTGGTAGCAAAAACATCCTCATTTAGTAGACTCGTTCAAATTTTATGCCAACCAACGATGAAAGAAACCTTCCGGCTCCAACGGTTCACAAAGCTGGACCAACTGGAATCCAATATGATGTAATCTCCATTTTGAGTGCAAAATCTAATGGGAGAATGTTCAAAAGGAGGATGGCCTGCATACTTCAAGACTTTCTGGGGGCAGTGCCTGTGTCTCAAGGAGCAGGACACCAGCCCCATATGCTGGAGGTGGTGGGTTCAAGCCCAGCCCCAGCCAAAAAAAAAAAAAAAAAAAACTGAAAAAAAAAATTTCTGGTGTATGGCAACCATCAGAGAATGATCTTCTGGGTGCAAGTATGTTAGGATCGAGGTCCCGATCAGGTTCTGATGTAGGTAACCTAGCAAAGGCACTGCTCTTTCATCTACTTCAAGAAAAACCCACCCTGGGCTGTGCGTTGTGGTAAAAATTCTCTTATCCTGGGCAGCACCTGTGACTCAGTGGGTAGAGCACCAGCCCCATATGCCAAGCATGGCGGGTTCAAACCCAGCCCTGGCCAAACTGCAACCAAAAAATAGCTGGGCATTGTGGCGGGTCAGGAGACTGAGGCAGGAAAAGCGCCTAAGCCCAGGAGTTGGAAGTTGCTATGAGCTGGGTGACGCCATGGCACTCTACCCAGGGCAATAAGGTAAGACTCTGTCTCTACAAAAAAAAAAAAAAAAAAAAAAGGGAGAAAAAAATTATTTTTTCCGCTGGTATTCTAGGAGCTCCATAACCAAAGTCAATCTTTTCAACCAGTTTGAGACAGCAGGGTTCCGATTCTGGTTGGACAGAACTACATACATGAATCATGTAGGGAATGATCTGGAATGGGAAGTAATACTTCTCTTGCTTTCTCTGGTCTTCACCTCCACGGACTCTGCAGAAGAAGGATTTCACGGGAGCGCATTCATACTGTGATGCTCTTTGGGTCCAGTTGTTCCAAAAGGGCAGCTGAGCTGGGGCAGTGTGCATATGGAACACACTCACCTCCTGAGGAGCGAGCAGGTCAACAAAGTGAGACAACTCCAAGCAACCTTTCTTACAATTCAGGATCGAAGCAGGCTGTTCGGAAATGTGCACTAACCTTCCAGACAGAAATGAAAACACTGCCACCAAGGTGTCTGTGTTTCTGGAAGTGTGTTCTGAAGCAATAGCACCCAGATCCTCAAGACTGTATGGTCACATCTGCCTGACATGCTCCATTTCAACTGAGAATCTGGAAAAACCCACTGTTTGCCTGCACACTATGCACACAATGCACACAACAAAGGGCATAACTGAGGGCATCTAGAGTGCTTGGCTTATTGTGTCTCTCTGATGGGAAATTTTTTTTTTTTGCAGTTTTTGGCTGAGGCTGGGTTTGAACCTACCACCGCTAGTATATGGGCCCTACTGCTTTGAGCCACAGGCGCCACCCTGATGGGAAATATTTCTTCATTTCTTGGACAACCATTGTAAGTTCTTCAGTAACTCTGTTTCGGTCTTGCTGTTCCCTGTTGCTGCTCTCCACCAATTCCTCTGCAGCTGGAACTGAGGACTCACATCTCCGCCTCTCCACCCGGGGCCTCTTCATTGGCCTCTAGTTGCCCGGGGTCAGGAGACTTCCCACCGGGCATCTCCAGATCTCCTCAGGGGTCCATGTAGGGCAGGCAGCCCTCAGTCCTTGCTTGCTTTTCTCTCACTTTGCAATGAGCAATAGATACCAGCTTCTTATTTTGATCCGTGCCATCGCATCAGAGAAAAATCAGTGAACCCCAGACGGCAGTTATCAGTTTACATTCATATCAGAGGGGCTTCCCTCCCCAGCACTTCCATAAAACCTTCTGAGACTTCTCCGCTCCCAGGGTCCAGCTGGCCACTGTGGCCCCTGGCCCCGAGCGCAGCAGCTTGTCCCACCCTGCAGCGCTGCACCCTCCTGGGTGAACTAGAAGTGAACTTAAAGCAACCTTATTTATCCCCTTTGTCTAAACCGTGTCGGTTCCTGATTATCTTTTAAAGGAAAGCTTGCAAACGTCAGCTTTGCTTTGTGATCTTAACCAACTGAAGTTGTACTTTGAGGGAAGATTAAGATCAAATAAAGGTGGGGTGGAGCATTCTAGAAGAAATGGTACACAGGACTGGGGGCAGGTAAAGGTGGAATCTAGTCAAGGACGAACGACTGATGTGACCAGAATGGATGGTGAAGTGTGGGCCATAGGGGGTGGGAGAAGAGGCTGGAAACGACCCAGAAATGGAGCTGGGGAGTTGGCACTTGATTCCTTGGCCAACTGGTAGCCATGGAAGTTACCAGAGCAGGAAGGTACTGACTTGTCTCAGGTAGGCCCCAGTTGACTGGTGAATTTTTCATCCCTATGGCCACTTTTCAGAAAGCAGATACGTACGGTCACAGGTACATAGCGAACATGGGGTACAGGTTTAATCTAACGAGTAGAGTGGTAACAGGCGGGCAGGAGGGCTTATCGTTAGAAAGGCAGAAGTCATGGGAGAGAGAATGACATCTCTGGAATTTGCCTTTAGCACATCCCCCTTCCCCATAGGAAAAGGCTGAATCATGCTTTCCAAGACACCAGAAATTGATTGGACTTTAGGGGAGGTGACCATTCACCCTAGAATATCCAATAATCTTGCTGGCTTGGAGCAGCACAAACTACTTGAGTTCCAGATGTTCTCTTTCTCCATGGATCTCATCATCTCACCCTACACCCTTCACAAGCTAGCTCCTATCATTGCGATCTCAGCTTGTCTCCAAAGCTGAAACTCAAGTCTCTTCATCCACAATGAAACACTAGACTGAGAATTTTGAAAGCAGTTTGGCTTCATTGTTCAATGAGAGCCTGTATGCAAAGCTCTACAACAGTGGAGGCATTGTGAAGAGGTGCCAGTCAAAATGCCTGTCTCCTAGTAGGTAGGAGTGGGTCTCTGTTGCAGCTTCATCTCCACCTGGTAGGCAGGCTGGGAGAGCAATGGGAGTTACTTGTCCTGATGACCCCCTGAACAGAACAAGGAGTTACTTACACAGGGAGGGGCTGGGGAACAAACCATCTAATCATCCTCTCCTGCCCACTCATCTGGGGATGTGTAATACAGTCTGGTTGTGCTACCTATCACCTGCATGACTGTGAACTCCTGAGGAAGACTGAGAGTAATGCCAATCTAGAAAGCTTGTGATGATGATTAAGTGAATTAACATAAGAAAATATGTAACACAATACCTGACTCAAAGGAGACTTTGATGAGAGTTTAATTTTCTTCCTCCCTATATTTCCTACACACATGCCAAGACAGTAACTGAAGAATCTGACCTACAGATAAGAGGGATTTCAGAAGTTTGAATCCCCTTAACCCCATTAGTGGTTTTCCAGCCCCTACGTAAGCTCCACTGAAAAAGAGGATTTCACCTATTTTAGCTGCCAAAGAAGACTTTATCATTTAGAGAAACCTCTGATTACTAAGATTTTCTTAAAAGCCTACCTAAATCCTGAAGAACTAATCCCTAGCTCTTAGTACTTCAGTATGAAGATCAAAGAGTCACCTGATGACACACTCATAAAATGTTTGTTACACTGGGGTATGCGCTCCTTGAGTAAAGAGAGGCCCTCGTCCAAGGAGGTTGGCCAGGCTCCAGTTCCCAGGTCTGATTCAGTACGATACTTCCCTTTCTGGGTCACAGTTTCCTCACCTGTAAAATGAAAGTTATGCCAGATTTTTCCCCCTTTTTTCTCTTTTATGAATATGCCAGTCTATTTGTTCCCTATGTTGTTAAGACAGACATCTTCAGGCCAGGGGTGATGACTCACGCCTGTAATCCTAGCACTCTGGGAGGCTGAGGTGCCTCACTTGAAAGCTAAGGAGTTTAAGACCAGCCTAAGCAAAGTAAGAACCTGCCCTGCTAAAAAAAGAAGACCAGATATAGTGTCTCACACTGGTAATCCTAGCACTCTGGGAGGCCAAGGCAGATGGATTGCTTGAATTCAGGAGTTTGAGACCAAACTGAGCAAGAGCAAGACTCAGTCTCTAAAAACAGCTGGAGGCTGGGCACAGTGGCTCACGCCTGTCATCCTAGCACTCTGGAAGGCAGGGGGGTGGGGGGAATGCCTGAGCTCACAGGTTCAAGACCAGTCTGAGCAAGAGCAAGACCTCATCCTTAAAAATAGCCAGGCATTGTGGTAGGTGCCTGTAGTCCCATCTACTTGGGAGGCTTGAGGCAAGAGAAATCACTTGAGCCCAAGAGTTTGAGGTTGCTGTGAGCTATGATTTCCCAGTACTCTACAGAGGGCACAGAGATTCTGTCTCAAAAAATAAACAAATAAATGTTAAAAAGTAAAAATACACCGGGTATTGTGCCTCACACCTGTAATCCTAACACTCTGAGAGGCTGAGGCTGATAGATTGCCTAAGCTCACAGGCTGGAGACCAATCTGAGCCAGAGTGAGACCTTATCTCTAAGAAAAAATAGCCAGGCATTGTGGCAGGGGCCTGTAGTCCTAGCTACTCAGGAGGCTGAAGCAAGAGAATCACTTGAGCCCAAAAGTTTGAGGTTTCTGTGAGCTATGACGGTGAAACACTCTACCAAGGGTGACAAAGTGAGACTGTCTCCAAAAAATAAATAAAATTAGATTAGTCAAGTGAGGTGACATGTGCCTGTAATCCCAGCTACTTGGGAGGCTGAAACAGGAGGAGTACTTGAGTCCAGGAGTTTCAGGTTGCTGTGTGTTAGATTGAGGCCATGGCACTCTAGTCCAGGCATTATCTAATAATACTTCTGTTTGAATTTTTCATAAAAAACTTTATGATTAACTAAGGAAAAATGCATAGAAGAGTCTTAGGAACATCTCCAGATCTTGGCCCTGTGCAGTGGCTCATGCCTGTAATCCTAGCACTCTGAGAGGCCGGGGTGGGTGGATTGCTTGAGCTTACAAGTTTGAGACCAAGCTGAGGAAGAGTGTGACCTCCTCTCTACTAAAAATAGAAAAACTGAGGCAAGAGGATCAGTTGAGCCCAAGAGTTGGAGGTTGCTATGAGCTATAACAACATGGCACTCTCTCCAGGGCAACAGCTTGAGACTCGGTCTCAAAAAAAAAGGAGTATCTCCAGATTATTCATTTTGTGACACTTCTGAAATTCTCTGCTCTCCCACATTCTCTAACTGTGCAGGTATTGCTCTGTCTCTTCAAAGTTGCATTGTTTTTCCTGAAGTTCAGGTCAATGCTTTGGCAAAGGAGTCTTTGAGTGGAACCAAGATATAGTGCAATGCTGAGGAAGATCTCTTCGAAAAGTTTACATATGAAAAGTTTACATATGCCTGTATGATATTGTGGTCAGAGGGAGATCTTAGATGAGAGACGAGAGACAGCTAGGTGCGGGCGTGAGGACCGAAGGAAGGAAAATTCAAGGGATGGTGCTAGGTCTAATGATTTGGTATCTGATTTGCTTTTTCTTTTTTTTGAGACAGAGCCTCAAGCTGTCCCCCTGGGTAGAGTGCTGTGACATCACAGCTCACAGCAACCTCCAACTCCTGGGCTCAAG